AATAATAAAACTAAGGTAATAAGATGTTTAGTGTAAAAATATATGACTTAAGTTAGAGTGATAGAAAGAGCTATGTTTCTATGAATTGCATGCCAAAGCAAACCAACATTTTTCAAAAAAGTATACACGCTCATTTTAGGAGAATAATAAAACGAGGACTATATGTAAAATTAACTCTCTCACTCTCTTTTTATTAAATTAAAATTGTGAAGGTTTATAGTATGCCATGCATTGCACAAGTTAGAACAGATGCACAAAAGTTTTAAAGTGGATGAGACCAGAAGAAAAAAGCCAATGACTTCAACCACTTAGAAAGCAGGGCTGCTCCTGAAATCAACTTCTGAGATGGTCTGCTGGTTTTGAATAGTTTTTTGCTTAAATTTACAGTTGACGCATGTTCCTGAAAGTGATTTTCAGTCACTTCTATGAAAACCTGCTTCTCAGTGGCTTGTTCCCCTTGCCAGACATCTCTCAGGCATGTACGGTGCCTGTACATGAGTATGGAGCCCATAATTACTGCGTTGCAGCAGCCTCCCGCATCTTATGTATTAGTGTCCCCATGCTTCAAAATGGCAGCATGGGCACTTGAACTAATGGTGATTAAAATGAATGTTTCCAACTTCAGTTTTCAAACGAGACTACTCGTGATCAAGAAGTACTGATGTGTGTAACTGCAAGTGTATCACTGCAGTTACACACATCAGTTTGCTACAAAACATGGATCAGATATTAAATATATTACCCTACATACAGAAACTGCTTCTTTGGATAATCAAAGAGTGATTAAAGACATAAATCTCAGCCTTTTTGAGATTTGTTTGTTGCTTCTTCATTCATTCCAGTATAACACAGAGTCTGCAGAGCTGGCTGGGGACTCTGAAAGCCTGGGTGGTGGGATGGGGTGCGTGTCATATGCCAGAGACATTCTGCCGGATGTGGCAATCTTGGGACTACTAAGTGAAAAAGGATATTCTTGCCAGTTTTATGATTGGCACTGGCAGTGGCACTTAATTTCATTCAGCAACTGGAAGGTCTTGGAGAGCTTATTTTGTTTCAAAAACACCATGTTTTGGTGGGTTTTTTTCTTGGAATTAGCAGTTCATGAGTTACTGAAAAGGTTTTGACCTCATTTTCACCTAAAACAACATTTAAAAACTTTGTGCCAATTTGGAGCCCTGCTTTTCAACCAACTAAGTTCCAGCATCCCCTGGCTTTAAAAAAGAGTCACGTGCTGGATGGTTCATTGTACCTCTCTGTTGAGTTGAGGGCATGGACAAACGTACATCTGGAGTGGCTTCAAAAAGGGGAAGGGGAAGCTGCTGCTGCTCTAACCATTACTTCCGCATAAGCCCGCAGCAATACAAATGCATTAAGTTGCCCCACCTTTAACCTTGGATGAAGCAGAGTTACAGCTGCCGTGGTCTTCCCACAATTGTATTTCTATAGGCTTGTGCAGAATTAAGGGTTATGGGGTACTAGGTGCTGTCCAGAACAGTAGCTCCACCTCCCCTTTTGAAGCAGATACATTTGCCCGTGCCCTGAGAGGGCACAAGCAGGAGAACCAGCCCACAGAATGAAAAGGAGTAGCTGCTCCTGCTTAAATGCCAACAGGAGAGAAAAGGCCCAGTATAAATGCTGATGATTTTCAAGGACAGACCCGATCTCCCCAAACCTATCGTGGTTTTCAACCTTTTTTCATTTGCGGCTCCCTAAAAAATTTGAATAGAGGTGTGGACCCCTTAGACATAGTCAGCAGACCTCAGACAGTCACAGGACCTTCAGGGGTCCACAGACCATGGGGTGAAAAATCACTGTACTATGACATTGTTTCCATCTAAGATCTCTCAGCCTCTCTGAAGAGAAAAGTTTTTCAATTTAATATTAACATCATCCTTCCAGCTAACACCATCTTTAGGAGCTAAGATACTCATTTATGACCGCCTCAGCAAATTAACCTTTCTGCAAATACAATTCATGTTTTGTGACCCTATTTTGTGATTTTTGATTTGCTATCAAAGATTATGATTTCAAAGTCACACAGTATATTTCATTTTTAAAACTGAACCCATATTTGGCAGGGCTGCTAGATCAACCATTTGTAAAGTTACACCTATATATTTTAACTTAAAAGCTACAAAGTAACTTTAACATGGACATTTCTACTGAAAGCACAATGCTTTTGTGCATCAATAGTGTTAACTGAAAAAAAATCAGAGCAGCTGGTGAGTAATTAGCAGCTTTTGCTGTAAGTGCATCTGAAAACATATTGGACAAGGTCTCTGCGCTACTGTCATTTCTTCCTGGTAACACATCCTAGTGGGCTGGAGTGGGGGAGGCAAAGGGGAAGGGAATAGACGTCTGGATTACCCAAGATATGAAATTATAATGATCAATTATCCTGAGGTAAAGTATACCAGTGAAGGGGCTTTCAGGGCAGAGAACAGCTCAACAGGGCAGAGAACAAATCTGGAAGGAAGTGTCAGCTTTGCTCTTACCTGGCCACTTGCTTTCCTGTCCCTACAGAGAATATCCCTGTGGCAGAGTCAGGAAAACCTCATTCCTATCTTCTTCCGCAGCATTATATCACATTAGTGCAAGCTAGCAGGCCTTGATTATATGCCTGGTAAGTAGGACAGTACTCTCATTCTTTTGCTCCCCTTAAGCTAATTTTAACAAAGAATTGTAGCAAAAATGTTGAAGCTGTTTACAGTCTTCAAATTTATTTCACTTGCTAAGAAAAGCAATGGGCCATGGACACTACAATTTCTTGGCATTTGACTAGGGCTGAAACGGTGGCAGATTTATATGGTTTTGAGTATCATATAACTCATACTAAGTAAATTCACCAAGTATATTTTAAAAAAAGGCAAAGTAACTTTCATTCAGTTGAAAGACAAAGATGAAGCAGCAAGGGCTATGTAAAGTACAAGTGGGTATTTTGCATTTCCTTTGCATCTTCTATCTTAGAGAAAAGGTTTTTCTAACAAGCCCAAGTGGTGTTTCCCCTCTTCCCACTTCTGGCTTTATGTCATTCATTTTTCAATATAGACATTCATAACTTGGCCTTCATAAAAACAAAACAAAACAAAACATGGCATCACTGGGGAGCAGGCCAACAGCTGGAGTAAAGAAGCTCTACTGAAATCAGTTGTACAAGCCTGATGATGCCATGTGAAGATACGGTCTTGAATTTCAGCTTGTAAGGTGAGAGACTTTGTTTCTGGTTATTTAAATGCAAGTCTCACTGAAACCAAAGAAGGTTGTGCATCCATAACTTAAGAAAAAATAAAGTCTTGGGTTTCATACAGTAAATTAGAAAGTCAGACTGTGGTTAAGTGCAACTTATTTATTGCTAAATAGTATTACATGATTTTGAATGCTCAAATGAGTACCGTGAAGACAAGCTACAATTTATTTCACCAGGTCTTGTAATTCCAGAAAGTCAGACATGTTTAAGAACTTGCTGCGTACAGATGAACATCTATAGGACTGGAAGTAAGTTGTTAAGTGCAACAATTGTTTTCTTTAGAAATTCTTCATTGGACATTTTAATAAATAAGAGAAATACAGTTCACGGTTTGTAGCTAAATCACAGCGTCATTTATGTTTTTCTTGTTTGGCTTTCCCAGTGAAATGTTTTGTATACAATAAGAAATCTTCACAACTACATTTCAGATTATGTGCAATGGGCTGCTACTTGTAATTTTCATACTCTTTTTACATGAAAGAAGGAGAAAGCCTCTGATATAAAGGGACTTGAACCTGAAACATTCCATGGTTTCACAGAACCAAAACAGTGATATTTTGAGAACAAACGAAATTAACTGAGTTTTGCCCACCTCCACGTGAAACAGAACCATTTATCTGAACCCTACAGACATTTTACAAGGTAGATCAATGGGACCAAAAATCTGAACCTCTCTAGATACATGCTGTGAAATTTTAAATCTAAGATATGGCTTATATTTTGCAAAGCAAAAGCACTCATTTAGGCCCACTGCTCTAATTTTTTTTTCTTTTGCTTAAAATGGATGAATTTCTCACAGCTGTTTTAAGTTTTCTATTGCTGATAGTAACTGAACATTCTTGTTTAATGATTCCATATTTCCAGGAATAATCATACGTAAAGAGATTACAAAGCATTTTTAACCTTTTTAATGGTGAGACTGAATGGAAGGATGCACACTACAATTGTATACTGAAAGCTTCTGACTTGATGACAGAAGAGCTGGGTATAGAAATTTTGCTAAATTGCTAGATTGTATCTCTGAGAGAAAGACTGAAGAGCTAATATAGCAATTTACCTGGCAGTAGCTATCCACAGCACAAAATAAGAAAAAAGATTTAGTGGAGCTAACCTTCTGAACTTACATATTGACAGCATACGCTAACAGTGGTGATTACCACATGAATTAGGGTTGTATTGAAGATAAATCACATTTTTAAGCAGCATGGCTGGAAGGAAAGACTAAACAAAGGATCACAGGCAACACTAATAAGATTATCTGTGCTGATTTTTGTTCAGCTGGGGGTGTCTCTGGCACAGTTTTAATAGGCATGGAGCAAAAACAAACTACTAGTGCACAACAAAATCATCAATATTTTAAAAGCATATAGGCATTTACAGAAAGTAAAGTTGAATTATGCTGCCTCCTTGATATTCCTCTTATGGTCTAGTCATCCTGATGGAAAAGCTGGTTGAAAAGCTTTAATTGACAAAGCATAAACGGTAGAGGGGTGCCCAACTGTCTACTTTAATCAAAAAGGAAGAAAATAGAAAAATATATAAATATATACCATTTAAAAGGCAATACGAAACGCTTACTTTTGTACAAGACAAATTTACCAGGTTTATTCTGAAAGCAGCTAGATGTTGTTTCCAACATTGTATAATTTGGCAAAGTTACTAACACCAACAGGGCTGCTAATTTTTAAATCATCTTTTCAGTGTTTTATCTACTTCTTAATAAAGGTAATGAACAACAGTTGAACAAACTCACAAGTGGAGTATCTTTTCCTCCCACAATGCTGAGACCAAGGCCTGATCGCCCCTTGGATATCTCTATAGTCATCTCCTGCCCGGGAACAATGGGACATGTTGCTGGATCCACTGGCAATGGAGGAGGCAGGTTCCCTGAAACAAAAAGGGAAAATGTTAAAAAGTAAAGAAAGTAGTCAGAAATATTTCATGGGAAAATAAAGATCTAAGGTGATGGCACTGGAGTAACTAAATGGCTGAAACTTGCTCTGTATTGTCCTTACACTCTTAAGTTAAGTTAAAAGAATACCTTAAAGACATCTAAAAATCTGAGCCATTTCAAAACTATTCCAATCTGGTATGACAATTATGTCAGATATGCCCTGTGTGATTTTGATCATGATGACAAAGGACATTACATTTAGATAAAATGAAGCTATAACCGCAACACAATGAATCAGACAGGGAATCTTCCAAATTTACATTAAAATTCAGCATTTTGTAAAACATCTTGTCACAATGACATTTAAAAACTACCCAGAGTTGATGTATGCTGTCAAAATATTTTTTATTCTGAAGCTGCAAAAACTCTCCAAAGGCAAAAATGAAAACAAATTATTTGTTATACCTTTTTCCCCCCAAATGGATCTGATGCAATTAAGGAAAAGGATGTAAACAATCTATTGCTAGGCTGGCTTTTCCTCTAAATTGTAAACAGTAGAAAGAATCCTAAGTTTGCTAAGTAAGAAAAAAATGAAATCAATATATATAAAAAAAGGTAAATATATATTACAGTGCCCTTTTCAAAACTCAAAATACAGAGCTAAGCAAAACATGTCTAAGAAGGTATAAAACAATGTCAACTGCGCTCAGGTACTTTAGCCCAATTCGACAGTACTTGCTTTTATATTAGCAGTGTAAGTTTGCCATTAATATTAGCTATCTTGCTGAAAGAAATAATGGGTTCTTACTTCGGCTGGTGAGCTCCGTTTCTGGAGGAAGATAAATAGGCGCTGGCACCAGAGATATCTCATGTAAACCAATAGGCACTTTTACTGAAGTCCTGGATTGTTTTAACTGGTTGAGGAGAAATTAAAATTATTCAATTATTGACAATAAAAACACAAAGGCAGCATATTACTTCTAGCATTTGATTAAACATTTTTCAATTAAAGTTATTAATTAAAGCTATTAACTAAAATGGCAAGGATACAATTCAATTTAAAAACATTTTAAATAAATTAGGTATATTAAATACTGTGATTCCAGGGAAACCTGCACAGAAAGTGTTGATGGAACTCTTATCTTCATCAGGTCAGACCAAACAAATTCTTAGTTTTTGAGAAGAGAAGAATATATTCTTAGCACTGTCCCATATGATTGCTTCCAGGTGTTTGAAGAAAAGGTACTTTTATATTTAAACACTGAATGTATAAAAATAAAACCTAAAAATATTTCCTTCCTTCAGTAATAGAAGGACCCTGATAGGGTAAATCACAAAGAAGAGAGCCATACATACATTTCCTGGAAGCTGTTCTTCTATCTCCTGTTCATCCACCATCAACAGCTGTTTGTCAGCCTTGTTTTTGACATCCTAAAATAAGGGGGGGAAATTGTTTACTATACTGAGTGTCACAGCAACTTCAATCTTCATTTAATAAAATCTCTTCAAAACAACAGGAATTAAAGCTTCAATAAGGTCATATTCTTTCCCACTTAACAGCCTTCAGAATGCAATGTCATGTCCAGATGAAGCAAAGAATTTAGAAGGATTTAGAGAAGTATTAGACATTTATGCAGCTAACAAGAATATCCACAATTGTAAACAAATACTCTTAAATAAGTTTTTAAAGAAACAAGGGTATTAGGAGGCAAGTCCCTCTTAGGAGATTATGCTGCATCTGCCTGCTGCTCTCATACATCCTGCATATTTCCCACAAGAACTGATTGCTGGTGTTTGGGAATAAAGGTTACTGGATTAGATGACAAAAGTTTTATTCCAGCGATTTCTGATTTTTCTAAGGTATACAGAAACTTAAAGGAAGCCACTGGGTCTGATTTACAAAACTGGTAGTTCAATGGGACCTCAGTGAACCAGGTCCTACAAAGAGGAGACAACTAGAAGGTACCTATTCCACCTCTTCCACTCAAGAAAGGAAAGCACACTGGCAATTAGTGGCAAAAGGAAAGCAATTTAAACAAAATAAAGAATTATAGAACTTCATCCAGTCTTGTTATGTGCCCTGCAAACAAGAATGCTCTCATCTCTTTCTAGACATTTTTTCCTCCTAAATTTTAGCCAATACTCTGAGTTACAACTCCCTATAATACTGTACAAAAATTGCTTTCCTTCCCAGGGCATATGTTCTTCAAATGTTTTCAGACACTTAAAATGCTTCTCCTTAACTGTCATGTAGGCAATTTTAAGCTGTTTAAACCAGTGTTTTCAGACATGGGTGACTAATTTTGGGTACCCAAATGGGAAAGTGGCCCTGCTTCCTCAAGTCTCACAAAACTCTAAATCTGAATGACAGCAGTCTTCAAATATTTGATGGGCTGCCGTAAAGGAGGAAAGCACCTTTTCTCAGAGAGTAGAACGGGGACCACTGGCTTGAAGTTTCAGCAAAGTAATTTTAGATTAGAAATCAGGAAAAACTTCACTGTTAGAACAGCGAGGCAGTGGAACAGACTGCCTAGGGAAGATGTGGACTCTTCATCACTGGAGATGTCCAAGAAGAGGCTGGACAGCCACTGGTCGAGGCATTGCTCTGCCTATGTTCTACTTGGGGTATTTCATATGCTTCTGGGCCCTGCTGGTGGCTGCATGGGGCTGGGAAAGAATTTTCTCCCCACCCCTGCAGCTACATGCTTCAGGGTTTCTCTAAGCCTTCCTCAGACGAATTGAGTGTTGGCTGCAGCCAAGCCTGAGGATTTTGATGGGGGAGAGGGCATAGTAGGGGGGGAAAATGATTCTGCTGGGACTTAAAGTCACAGGTTCCTGGCTAGAGAGTCTTGGCCCTCTGCTCAGGATCAGATGGATCACCATATCTAGGGTCAGATAGTACAGACTCTGCGGGGTTTTACCTTCCTCTGTAATGGAGGTGGTAGCCCTCTTCCTGGAATCTCTTGAACATATATTAACAGCCTTTACAGCAGTAGGATGTTGGCCACCATGGTCCCCCTACTTTACCTGTGTTAGAGCATTATGTCTTGGGGTTTGTGTAAAGCTTGACGGTGTAGTTTTGCTAAGAGGTTAGACAATGGATTTGTATAGGATGGTTTCTATAGGGATGCTGCTGCCTCAGGCAGGTGTGGGACAAGATGACCTATGGAGGTCCCTTCCAGCCTTACTTTGGTTAAATTCTTTTATTAGCTTTAGTGTTTCAAGGTAAAATGATTCAGGGGCACATCTTTCAAGCTATATAAAAACAGATCAATATTGCAAATCCAAACAACACCCCAACACCAAACCTAAATTTACTGTATTTACTCAAATCTAAGACATCCTTGAATTTAAGACGACCCCCCAATAATTAGATTCTACACATGGCAAATTTATAAATGTATTATAATTTTGCCATGTATAGAATCTAATTATTAGGAGGTCATCTTTAGTTCATGTCTCCCACTGCTTACAGGGGGGCAGGTGGTATGGGACAATCAAGCAGCTTGATTCCAGCTTGTGCCTGCACCTCCTGCAGCCTCAGCCTCCTCCTTCCCCCTCTATCTCTGCTCCCCCTCTCCCAGTCTCCACCCCCTTCTCCCCACTCCAGCTCTGCACTGGCAGGCTCCATCCCCATTCTTGCCTGGGGCACAGAGCGTGGCCCCAGCCCAGCCCAATGCCCATAGCAGCTGTGCAGGCTGTGTGCCACTACTATTGGGCTGGGCTGGGGTCATGCTCAGTGCCCAAGACTCCACTGTGGACTGAGCCTGCTAGTGTGGAGCAAAGTAAGCAGCGAATGGAAAGGTGTAGGCAGGGGAGCAGATGCTGCATCACGAGGTATATGGGGATATGCAGCGGCAGCAAGAGTGGGGCAAGGAAGGAGCAGACAGCTGTTGCTGGGTAGGGACTGAAGCCCAAACTACAGCAGCCACCTGTCCCTCCCCTCTCCCCCCCCAGCTAACTATCCTCATACTTGATTCTAAGATGAGGGGCTTTCCCCTTTCCATGTTAAATGGGGGAAAACCCTGTCTTAGAACTGAGTAAATATGTTATTTACTCTTTCTAAATATGTAATATACCCATGCAACATGCAGACATCATGAGCAGGAGTAGTTTAAGGAATATCCTCAGTTCTCATACAAACCATCATTTCTGTCAAGATCCAAGTTCTAAAAGAATCACTTAATGGGTTTTAAAATACTCTTCAAATGTTCATAAAATCAAGATAGCCAGGTCCTTAGAAAACCAAAGTGCTCTATCAGATCACTTCAGGTACCAGCTGCTAGTATTGTAGGTATTTGACCTCAGGTTCAATGATACTAAGTGCAATATAAACAATCTTCTTTTCCCCTTCTACTCACACAGGTCCATGGCCATGTCAGTTATATAACTTAATACTTTTGAAAGCAATGAACTGGAAACACAAAACGTCCTGGGCCAGCCTGGAAAATTTACCATCAATAAATGGATGCAGAATGAGCTGAGATCAGTTTATCACTGCTATCAACATCAAAACTCAAATGAAAAACAATATTTCTGCATGCTTATATGATCCAGAACATGTAATGTTAGGATGCTCCTTTGAGTTCTACTCATTTGAGAGGGATTTTTGCGGACAAGAATATATACATACACATTACATTATAGATGTATGTACTGACTTTGTGATTCTGGATTTCTCAGAGCATAGAAGTTAAGTGCTAGCTAACAGTGATGCGACTGCATGGGCAACAAACAGGGACAACTTTTATGATCTTGGCACTGAGGCATCTTTTTCCTAGACATCTACCAAGAGACCAATGGAAATCTTTATTTATCTTCTTATCCAAAGAATAGTTATCTTGTGCTGCACTGCAGTATTAACAAGGGCCATGTACAGACATACAGTTTCTCCTGGGAGAGCTGCTTCAGGATTTTTCTCCCAGAGCAAAAATGTCTGCTCCAGGAGAAAAAAATAACCTGGAAACAACCAGGGCTGAATTACTCCTAAGGGAGTTTTGTTTTTGTTTTTTTTGAGACAGCAAATGTCTGGACACATTCCCTTTTTTGCTTTCCTAGACACATCTTCCTCATAACCCAGTCTGGGATCTCTGCAGTGCTTTCATCTCTTCTGAATTAAAAAACTGCCTACTCAAAGAGCTGTACAATGCCGTGCCCAAATACAACTCTTGCCCACATTTTTTACTGTACCTCACTCCTGACTTTTTGCCCAAGGTTCTCTTGTGTCCCTTGTCTCTGTCACTCATATCAAGAATTGTATATTTTGTCATAATTATCTGTATCCCTTGAACAATTCCTTAACTAACGCACTCCAAAGAGAGCCGGCAAAGAACTGAAATAATGCATTTACAGCTGGTATTTATGAATTAAGCCTCCAATTAATTTATATTCAAACCCATTAATACTGTTGACTGAATGTTCTGGATAACTCAGATAAATGCATATTGACAACCTACAAGTGTTTTATCACTCAATCAGAACAGACATTTCAATTCTTAAACACCATGCTAACTTCTGATTCTTGGCAGTCCATGAAGTATTTACTTGTAATATTCATCAAGTAGTTCCAAAAAAAAAAAAAATCAAGGCTGGTTCACAAAAATGTTATGAAGCAGAAAGAAAATAAATCCAAAACAAAAACATAATATTTTTAATTGATGACTGCATACACAGCATGTCTGAGCTAATAAACTCCCTGAGGAAACTACAGTAAGCTGTTGAGAGGAGGGGCAGAGAAAGGAAGATTGTCTCAGCAAATTTGATGCTCCTCTGGGTTAGTCACTCCTCAGCATATTTAATATTTCTGTTTTAAAATTCTAATGCAGTGTTAGAGGAGTCAAGGTACAAGCCTTGGGAGGTTCGGACAACGTATAATACTGACACATACATAACAACACCACAAACCCTCGGTATGTGTCAGTGAAACATTTGGTATTTAATACTGTACCACGCTAAGCTATAAGTTATGGACTTGACATAGAAATTACTGAGACAAATTCTATATCCTATGTTACACAGGAGGTCAGATTAGTTTATGATAATGGCTCTTTTGGCCTTAAGAATCTATGAAGCTATGAATACAAATATGAACATGATTTATATACACAAGCTTGTTTCCAGGATCTGTCACATATTTTTAACAAACATAGACGTGATCCTCTTGGCAAAAACAAAACAGGAAGGGAGACCAGTGATCAGGATGTATATAATTATTCTACCTCAACAATTTATGGATCAAAGATAGGAAAATATATGTAAAAAACCAAACAAATACATGAAATTGCAGCCTCTCAACTATATTCATTAGGAATTATTCCATAAAAGTCAGCTGCAGTTCCCCCAGCAGGAAAAGAAAGTCTGGTGAGCATGTTAACACCTTCTCAGCTTTCAGTTTTGTGGGCAGCTAAACATTTCTTTAAAACAGCACTTACTACTTTGATGCATTTATCTTCAGCCAAGCTTTTCACGACAACTTCCGAGCTGGTATCTTCCTCACTGCTTGCAGGTTCAGTGCCACTGTGATCCTGTCATAGAATGGTTTTTGTTTTAGCATGACTACATTTCCTCTAAACAGCTCAAGAAAAAAAAAGATTAAACCATTTGCAATGTATACTTTATGTAAGTCTTATGTGATGGGATGAAACAAGCAAAATATTCAACCATAAATCTGCACTGCTGAAGAGAAAAGATCAAAGCAAAGGTAAAACTTAATATATGTCTCAGGCTTCAGTAGACTCATGTCAAGTACTACAGGGTCTGCCCCTTTTTATGCATCACTAGGAATACTGCAACTGATATCCAGGGACAATTACTATGACAACAATGAGGGTGAAGTTCAGGAACTGGGAGGGAATTTGTTGCCGCTGAACAGCGCTACAGAATTCTGTTCTGATGAGCTAATGCTTCGCCTCATTTAGGGCGCATGCAACAAATCCCCTTTGCTTAGACGAAAGAGGAGCAAAAAAGTTTTCTTCTTTCTGTACAGGTCTCCTAATGAAAAAAAACAACTGTACCACAGCCAGAGCTGAGAAGTTGATCAGATACAGCAGCAGACGGCAGCCTTTTTAAAGCAGTGGGCTACGATGACATGGCTCAGGTCTGAGGCAAGCCAGTGCCAGGACTTGGCTGTTGCCACTGCTTCTCCATGCCACCCGCCCATAGAATCATAGAAATATTAGGGTTGGAAGGGACCTCTGGAGGTCATCTAGTCCAGTGTTTCCCAACCTTTTCCAGCCCAAGGCATACTTACATTAATAAAACTTTTCCGTGGCATACCTGTTAAGGCATTCCCCATCCTTATACCTGTTGTGGCTCACCGCCATGGTAAAATTCCACGGCACACCTGTTCATTTCTGACGGCACACTTTTGCGCCACAGTTCACTGGCTGGAAAACACTGATCTAGTCCAACCCTCTGTTCAAAGCAAGACCACCCCCAACTAGATCATCCCAGATAAAGCTTTGCCTGGCTGGGTCTTGAAAACCTACAACGATGGAGATTCCACCACCTCTGGGTAACCTGTTCCAGTGTTTACTACCCTCCTAGTGAGAAAAGTCTTCCTATTTAGCCTAAACTTCCCTTGCTGCAAGCTGAGTCCATTGCTCCTCGTTCTGTCATCTACCACCACTGAAAACAGTCCAGCTCCATCCTCTTTTGAAACCCCGTTCAGGCAGTTGAAGGCTGCTATTAAGACCCCCTCAGGCTTCTTTTCTGTAGACTAAATAAGCCTGGTTCCCTCAACCTATCCTTGTAAGTCATGTGCCCCAGCCCCTAAACCATTTTTGTTGCCCTCCAACATACTTGTAGAAACACTTCTTGTTACCCTTCACATCCCTTGCTTGCTGCAACTTCAATTGTGCTTTGGCCTTCCTGACTTCATCCCTGTATGTCTGAGCAATGCTCTTATATATGGCATGGGCAAAGTTCCCTACTGCCCTGACATGGTGCACCATGGGTAAATCCCCTTACCATTATTCTTTAACAAATTAAAACCATTGGCCCTGATTTTCTTCTTTTACCCAGCCCCTGAACCAGAAAATTTTGTTGTAAATAAACTTTTTGAGTCTTTTTGGGGGGTTGAGGACGAAGTTAGTGGTTTAAATCAACTCAAGTTATTGCTCTAAATCCAGAGCCATTTTTCCTTGCACAGTAACACTGACTTACAAACTGTTTACAAACTAGTCAGGGGGGACCAGCAGGTATTGGGGGAGTCCCTATTCCCCCAAGCACCACCAGGAGTGACTAGAAATAACGGTCACAAGCTGGCAGAGGGTAGATTCAGACTAGACATCAGGAGACGCTACTTCACTGTCAGGGCGGCTAGGATCTTGAACCAACTTCCAAGGGAAGTTGTGCTGGCTCCTACCCTGGGAGTCTTTAAAAGGAGGCTGGATGAACACCTTGCCAGGGCTGTTTGTCCCCAGTACTCTTTCCTGCCCATGGCAGGGGGTCAGACTTGATGATCTGCTCAGGTCCCTTCTGACCTGACCAACTATGAAACTATGACTTTGTGTAACAAATCCAGTTTCTTGTAAGGATCTTCACTACTAGACTTATTTACCAGTCTATTCACAATTCTTGCTAGGCACTGTACAATTAGAGGTAAAATAGAAATTATGCAAATAGTCTTATCACCCCCTCAAGAGGTAATCTACTGCTCCTTTCTTTAGAAGATTCACTCCATTCAGTGTTCAAACACAATACCTCACTCTGTTAACAAAACTTATTATGTAAGAGGTGCTTTTATGATGAATTAAGCTTCTTGCAGTAGAGTTTATTTTAGATTAATGCATTTTATTTTGGTTTTGCCAGCTAGCTACGGTATTGGGACACAATTATCATGGCCCTGTTCTACCCTGTGGTTCATAAAAACTGAGCACAGGTACAGGAAAGTTTATTGTTCAACCGTTTTCTTATTAAACTGCTCCAATCAAGATAAGAAAATAAACTAAAGAGAATTAATGTAATTGTACCTTGCAGTTATGCTGTCATCATGATATACTGTTAAATTACCCAGGCCCATTTTACAAAACATACCAATTGTTATGCAAATTATAAGCAACATTCATTGTTAAACATGCATTCAGTGTCTTTTTGTAAAACATGGCTGATATTTTCAGATGTGAACAATTACTTTAATACCAAAAAAGGGGGATAAAGCTTGGTGTAACTGTTTGTCATGACAGTCTCATTTGTTATATTTTAAAATGGTGTGAAACCATTACCTGGCAGCCCTGGAGGTCAAAGGCCTACGTTTAGATACAAAATAGGAACAGCATAAGTAAGAAAAGCTCCCTTTGCCACATGAAAGATGACATACTAAGGAAGTCTACAAGAAATGGAACTAAATTCTTTGGCCTTCATATAACAGTGGATCTTGGTGATGTGGATACTTGGCTTGGCAATCATGAAAACGTCTCAAGAGACACTAAACAACTGCCATGACTTCTGTCCAATGACCCAGACTATATTGGAATCAGTGATCTTGAGGGAAAAGACTCTTCCCTAATATTAACCACTGCACTATTTTATTACTCAAATCCAATGACAACAAATATGTATTTATAAATAAAAGTCCCACAGAAAGTTGTCTTCATTGTAATAATATTTTGAAAGATGCAGTTGGACAGGGAAAAGCAGGAGTCTTTGAGGATAGAATGACAGGTAACACTACGAGATCAGGAAGAGTTGACAGTACTATTTGTCTCACCATCGCTGGTGTGTGAAGGAAAGGGGACTAGAGTTGGCAAGAAGGTGGCCACAAGATCAACAACAAAAATCTTTAAAATGTACTTAGACGCTTAGACCACATAAACTGCAGAATAACCCGTGTGGACTCCAGCAGCTAAAAGGCTCCTAACAGAGCATGAAGCACCATTTCAAAATCAATATTCTTCCTTAGCAAAACAGGCAAAGAAAACCCAGGGCTTTGATTAAAACATTACCCAGAAACAAACAATATGGGGGGGTTTTGTACAGTAAAACACTTGAACTACATTAGCAATGTCTGCTAAGTGGCCTTAAATGTTACTATAATCTTGAAAATGACAAAACGCATGCCTCCAGAGGTTCCATCTGGCACTGCACAGAGTGAGCTAATGCTGCATTACTGTAATAAAGTTTATTGAAATATCAAACACAAATGTACCAGAATTTAGCCGGTGAAGGCTAGACCAAGCCTCAGCTGAATCATAAAATATGCTTTGCTTTATTAGCTCAAATAGATTGAATTAAAAAGTGGCAGCAGAGCTAGCTATGCACTTTAACTACAAATAAAATGTACTTTCTCTCTTAGTTACACTATCATATAGGGACATCAAATTTATAACGAAGTGGCGACATTACAGATTACACTGTGCAGTATAAACATTGGATTCACAATACTCAAGAGACTAATGAGCCTACAGCTGTAATAAAGAATAGTACTGGAAACGCTGTCACACTCGGGATGTTTTTGTTTGCAAGACGACAAGACTAAAAACGTCCTTTTAGTCTTGTCGTCTTGCAAGCAAAAACATCAATTTATTTTTCAATGGCAAGAACCATGCTATGTGTGATATGATGCACAGGACTTGATGGTAAAACATTAATTAAAGTACTATAAAAATTCATTAAGTTGAACTAAGATAAGTCTGACTGTCCAATAAGCATGGCACAGAGTACTAGGAATCAAGAGAACTGGGATCTATTGCTGACTCTGTCAAATGAGCAAGTAATTTTACCAGGCTTCCCCTTCTACCATTTATCTGTCTACCTACAGAGTGAAAGCTGTCAAGGGCTCAGACAGCTCCTTGCTATTTGTCTGCACTGCGTGCAACACAAGGGGGCTGCAATTATATTTGGGGCCCCGCCATGCATATAAAAACAGTAACCTTTTTATTGCCTTCAGGGGGCACTGCAGCAGGCTCACTTTTATTTTCTAAATCCAGGTATGAAGATACAATCCTAATGCCTCTGAAAGAGTTGTATATTGGTGGAGAAGAAGGAGGTCCCAGATAAACAAGGTCTTTTCTCTAAGGGGAACTCCAGATTCCAGTTATGTTCCAGGCAATAAAGCCCCCCAACAGAGATTTCAACCCTCTAGGAAAGAAAGGCAGAACTGTCAAGTGTCTTATTTTCTTGTTGTATCCAATAATCAGAGTGATACCTGTCACTAAGTACCATGGCAAATGTTTCATTAAAGAAATCCCCCCCCACAAGACGAAATACCCATTTGGTCAAGTTCCTACCCACAGCATTTTATGATTCAAGTTTAATTAGACAAGGTGTTTGGTCACACTGCTATCTAATTTAGCAAGCCCCGATTAAAAGGCATCTTACCTCAAAAGAAGATTGGGAGCTGGATTGTAATGGGAAAGGAGTAACAGCCATCTGGTTGAGTGCATCTTCATTTCTATGAGACATCAAGAGAGACAAAAATCAGTATGCTATGCTGAAAGCACATGCCTAAACTTTTCTTTAAGGTGGTCATTGTTTTATTTATTGGTTTTAGGTACAAAAACCTATTTCTTATATAATACTATAAACAGTAACTTCTGCTTGCATTCCTTGCTAGTTCCTCTATGATCACAGCACTTGAACATGTGGATATTGAACAGAAATGAAAACAGGGTTTAAACAATTTGACAGCAGCAGAGGAATAGTAAATGGGAAATGACAATACAATAGCTAAGAGACATTCTGCATAGAGATTTCTTTTCCTATTAACAGACTCTATTTCAATTGCTTCAAAAGAAAGAGCCCAATAGCTACTTTTATCACAGGCAGGAACACAGGGCTGGATGGGACCTTCTAGGTAGTCATGACCAGCCCTCTGTTATCACACACCAAAAGATTCTTTGCATAAACTGAGCTGCATCTTACATATTGTTAGGATGGTTTGCCCCGCTACTTTGATTGGAAGACTCCTATAATTTCTTAAAGGGATATAGGTAGTAGCTGTGTTGGTCTAAGGACAAAGAGAGACAAGGTTCTTTGGGTAAATCTGCTAACTTTTATTAGACCAATTCAAATAGCTGGAAAAATTCTTCTTAGCAAGCTTTTGAGTATAAATACTCTTCATCAGGCTGAGGAACCATCTGTAGTTGGTAGGGGCTCTTCCTGGATGGAATGAAGAATAAAGAAGCAGTCCTATAATTTGTTTGCACTCATGGTTAGGAACTACCTTCCAGGTTGACACCTAAATGTATTCATGGCAAGAATATACCCATTTGTTCTCGTCTACTGTGCTCTCTTCTCAAAGCATGCTTCATGACTGTACCTACTTCCTGTTTTGATTACTAGATTCCTTCTGCCATTAAGCACAAAACCTCTTTTTCTTTTCAGTATATCTTTGTTGCATACATTTCTGAAAATCTCATACATAAACTTGGCACATATATCAAAAGGGTAAAAGGAAGCAATTAATACTAAATATTGATGAACATCATCTCAAAAATAATGATGGTAATTTAAATCATATTTTTCTTTTTTGGTCATAAACAGACAAGTTATTACTTTGCAAATTTCTAACTATCAAAAGCATTTTTAACAGATGACAATACATATTAATTTTGCCTTACTAGAGGTTGTTTTTTTCCAGTGATATTCAAAACTATTGGACATGTCAAATTAACTACACACCTTTCTGGCCTCTATAGAGCATAGTCAAAGAAATAACATATTATGCAACATTGTTAAAAAAAATCATCTGATTTACAGAAAAAAGCTCAAGATTTTTTTAAAAAACTGCATGAATGAACCACATAAAATGGTGCCTAAAAACTGCACAAAGACTACAAGAAAAGTCAGGCCTCCATTTTGCTAAGAACTCAATAAAGAGAGATAGTCCACACTGCAAAGGAGCTTTAAGGAAGCATCTTCTGGGGAACTGGGATTAAGTGACTTGACCAAGGTCATATGGGATCTGTGGGAAGGTCAGCAACTGAACCCAGATATTTCAAGTTCCAGCATTTTAAGCACATGCTTGTCTTTCCTTTATTTTCTAGAAAAAAGATGATTTGTTCAGATGGCAATAAATTTAAAAATAGGCTATAAATGCCTGGAGGAAAAAAATGTATGTATATGGTTTCACTGTTGTTTCTCTTTCAAAGGGTTAATTTTGTAAAACCAGGATGTTGCCGTTACTCTGAAAAAGACAACACTATAAATCAATACCCCCAGTAGAGCCGAAGATGGCAAATGAAACTGCAAGCATTTCAAATGACGAATCCTCCATGTAAAGGTTGGTGAATTCATTTCCTTTATCTTCAACAGAACAGCCATGCAGTTCAAAGAAACTGTTTTAGGATTGATCATAATCCCTCACTTTTGTACTCTCTCGCAGCCTCTCCTTTTTGGCCCTCTTCAAAGCTTTGCAGCAGTTAGAAAATATGCTAATGTCCCTGCGACAATGACCAGCGTTACAAAATCAGGCATGCAGGAGGGCATGACAGAAATCCTAATGCACAGCATTTTCAACATTTGCACCTCACAACTTCCAAATGTCTATTGTTTCCCTAGTACAGCATATTAGGCAAGGATATTACTTCCTCCTTTTGTTTTCAAGTGGATACGATCCAATTACACTGCAGTTCTCACCTGAGAGGATTCATCAGAAAATCTAAGATGCCTAAGATCTGTAGCAATTTTGTCTGATTGTACAGATTTTTCCTCATCTCCCTCAAGCACTGGAAAATGTCTTCATAAAACATGAATGGCACAAAAATTAGCACAAAACTGAACACTCCACAATTAGAAGTAAACTTGACTGTAATAAAGAATGGTTCTTAATGTTTAGGTTGTGAGAACTATTTTGCTTCTAAGAGACAGCTAGACATTATTTTTAATATCTACATTATAAATTGCTCTGTTCTTAATTACCAACATATATAAATGCACTAAATATATACAAACACCAGGATTTATTCCCACATCATCAGCTTTAAATTTGTATGTCATTTTGAATAGACAGTAATTTTCATTCTATGTTATAATTTTTTTCAGTCATTCCCCAGCAAAAGAACCAAGGTTGCAAAAAAAATTTAAAAAAATCCCAACTTGTAATCTACCTCTACTAGCACACATTCAAACACATTAATACCACTTCAAAGGAGACTGCTTCAAAGCAGAATCAAAGTGGGAACATATTTTAAAGTGACAGATATAATAATAAATGCTCTCTTTGCTCTTCACTCCCAGAAATGTCCTCGATTAAACATGAATTTATTTAAAATTAAAAGAAACAGTTGTTTGCTTTTGATGTTGAAGCCGACAGCTCAGCAGTCGCACCATCATTTTCAAGTTCCATTGGCTGCAGAAGAACATTTAACACGTATTCCCATAATTACCCCCACTGTTGCCATTGAATACCACTCAACAGTGGATCTACAATTTTGAAAGGGGGTACGTATGGCATGGTGCCTCATCACATGTAACACAATGAATATTTTTCTCCTAAGCACAGTGCTCAGCCTCTGACTGGGTCACCCTGAGTCACAAGAGAGCTGTGACATCTGATGCTGATGCCAGTGAAGGGACGTGTGGGAGGTTAGTTTGACACTTTAAATGAGGGGAGAACTGAAGCCAGAGGGTGGCCACAGCCCCATGTGTCCACCCTTAATACCACTCAGTAGTGCAGGGACGGGCAATTATTTGGGCCGGAGGCCATTTAAGGAGTCTGGGTGAGCTGTCGCTGGCTGGTCAACACCCCCCACTGCAACAGCTCACCGCAACTCCCTAAGTGGCCCCCCAGCCAAATAATTGCCCACCTCTGGGCAGAGAGAACAAGGGTCAGGAGAACCTAACCTTTGTTCCCCCCTTCTCCCTGAGGCCCCTCCTGTGCCTCGAGTCCCCAGCATGCAGCCAGGTCAGCAATGCACTGTTTCCATGAGCTGGCTCAGGCAACATGGGTGCAGCTGCTGTGGCTTCTGCCCAATCCAGCCATGTGCTGGGGACTCGGGATCAGGCAGGAGCCGCGCCAGCTGCCACATTGGTACAGCCTGAAGCAGCATGTGGGAACACAGTGCTGCACCAGTGCCCGCGCCCCTACCAGGCCCTGGCTCAGTACAGCCCAGATAACCTGTGGCTCCTGGCTGTCTTCCCCTTGCACCCGCTCCTTTGCCAGCGGGGAGAACCTTACCTGAGCTTTAACTCACCAGGTGCAGGGTCGGAGGGGTGTGCAGACAAGTCTCACCAGGCAAAAGCCTGGCCAGGAACTCAGAGCCCCTTGCTTTTGAGCATACACTGGGGACTGTGGAGCAGAGCAGGGCAGACAGGCGGGGAAGGGAAGGCGAGTGGCTGCTGCTGCTGGCATGAGGAACGAAGGGGCCCCAAAAGCCAGGGCAGCTGAGGGCAGGATACAATTCTCCTTCAGAGAAGCAGCCACAGGCTGGGCAAAATCATTTGGAAGACCAGATCTATCCCACGGGCTATATTTTGCCCACCCCTGCAGTAGAGACTAGTACAAATACCCCTTGGAAGCACATGTTCAAATCTTTTCAAGGTCAAAACAGGCTTCTATTTTTTCAAAGTCAAAGTAACTTGCATGCAATTTACACATGGTGCTAGTCCTTCAGATAAGACTTCAAAAACTAAGAGAGTGTGGACAGATGAAATAACTATACTGATTTACTGTGGGGTCACCATGAACTGACACAGCTGTTTCATATGTCCATTCCTCTACCAGTACAAGTGAAGTAAAATCACAGTAACCTGAATGAAATAAGTTTAAAGTTACAGAGGTTCAACTCCATTCACCAGTAAAGGAGCAGACATACGAATGTTACGTTAGTTCCTGAGTCATAAATCTCCTCCCTGCCTTCAAATGTATATGGTTACATCTGCCCTGAGTTTCTTTTCATTTTGCAAAAATGGTTACCATCTCATCATTTTGCTCTATAGTCACATCCAAATTATCCCAAATAACTCGGGTACAAAACTGTGAGGAAACTGTCTACCTGACTTTTGAGCTTGAGCTTGTATCCTAAAGATGGCTGCATTTCAGTGATGTGATAGACCTACATGGCACGAATCACTTTTGGGTGGAAGGATTCCCATGTACATGTTTATTGTTTCTACTCTCTGGGCTGAATTTCAAAACTAACATTTTCACTTTAGTTAGAAATAAGAGTACTAACTGATTATGCTAATTGGAGCCAGTATCGTATTGCACTCACAAGACTGCAAAAATTAGAGCCTCATTTAGTGCAGAAGATCAAGGGAAGCAGGAGCCAAGACAAGAGAAGCAGCAGAGACCTGATAAGTTCTGAATGGCCTACACACCCAGCTTGGACCCTCACACCAGTCTGAATGCAGTTTGAGCCTCACCAGGCTTTCCCCCCAGACACTCCACCATTGCATCTTCCCCTCCCTTTACCCTCAATGATTTAGGTTTTGCTTCTGTATCAGACAGAT